TTATATTTCGACGGGAAAATATTAGACTTTTTTTCTGTTCAGTTAACGTTAGACTCTTAAGGTAAAGACTACTCTTATGGTACAAATCCTCTGGGAGGAAATTGGGAGGCGATTTTGTCAGACCAAAGTGATATCTTTCAACGAAATCTGGTCCTAGTAGAGTTGTGCCAAGGACTGCGGTAAGGGACGAAAGCAGTCACCAATAACTGAATTCAAAAACAAATAAATCTGAAGCGTTGAGAACAGAGGACTGGTGGTGATTCGATTTTGTGAATCGTGGAAGTAATTTTTTCAATGGAAGTGATAATTCTAGTGAAATCGATTTTATGGAACCCAAGGTAAGGCTAGTTTATTACATAATCCAACTGATTTTTTGGCCTAAAATCATCTATTTTCCTTTCCAAACATACGATTCATTTTATTGGTTTTCTTCTGGAATATTTATGCTGCGTAAAACCGGAGTTCGACGTTTTTCACTGTGGTATCGATAAATCGGCAAACTTGAAAAGACATTACAACCTTTGCATTAAGTCTCATTCCCGGGCCCTGGTGAAAAAAAATTTAAGCAGAAAGCGAAGCGCCAGCCGTTTGATTTAGTAAAGCAGTGAGAACCAAGTCGAGCAGGACCTTCTGACGCCAAAACCGCGATGAATTAGCGTCAGCAGTGAATTTGCTCTCCTTCCTTTCATGATTACAAGCAAAGATGTTGAAACGTACGTGCCTACACAGACATTTTTTGCGCCTTTAATCCGCGCTCTTTGAATGGTTGACCAAAGTCAGTGCTAACAAAACAGTGCGCCTCGTCCTATTGCGCCGCAAAAAAGTCGATGAGTCTCTTTTTCTTACCTTTTCTTCTAAACATCACAGATAAGGTCTTGGAGAGTTACAAGTGAGTCGATTTTGCAGGCGTCTTGAACACGAAAAATAGGCCGATGATGCGCAGTTTTTGTTGAGGGTTTCTGTCTTGCCTTGACCTGGTTTAAGCTTACTCCAAATCAGCTCAGCCTTCAAAAAACTTTGAATACCCATGTACAAACGATGGTATTAAGTTAGATTTGCGTCTTCTGTTTCAAAGGCGGAGGGAGCAGGGTCAGATCTTACCAAGAAAGTGTTTTGACTTGATAAAGTAAAAGCGAATGATCGACACTGGTGCCACGTATATGTGATGTGTGTTCCTTACCAGTCCATGATAACTGTGGTCGGACTAAACTGTGCGTTACAAACAGACTGGTTAATTCTAAAACCGTAAAGTTTCTGCAATATGGCAATCGTATGGAAATAGGTGGGTCCGTTTTGGCATCTGGAACAACGCAGTTTTTGCGTGAAAAAAAAAACTTGTTAGCTCTGGTGACCAAGTTTCTTCTGGAACGCTGGTATCAGACATTTCAAAATTCGCCCCTGTGCTATCGATATCTTCGAGATCCGTATATGCTGCTGGTTCTATAACGCCCAGATTAAACCATTAATGGTTGTGACCCGCGATAATATAATTGCAAGTGCATTAGTACACTCCGAAATGGTCTTTTCCGGGAGTAATGCGAACACTGCAAAAACTGCTTAAGCGCTTGTGCGCTTCCGCGTGGCACTAACATTCAAGTGGTACATAATAAGGTAAGGCAGCCTGATGGAAAACAACACAGGAGTATCATTTTATTGGCGATTAATGTGCAGTAATGCAGCCATGGCAACTATAGCCAATAACCAAGGCATAAATGCTATGACCGCTGGAGTGGTAAGTGGTGGAACAGTACAACTGGGGTGCCTCGTGTGGAAGTGGAACTAGTAAAATGTCTCCTTTTCAAGGTTAGTATTTACTGGATATTTCTTAGACGAGGATTAGTAGACATTAGAAGTAAAACAGCCAAAATCACTCTTCGAGTTCGCAGGAGTAGAAGGACTTAAAAAATTGCTGAATGACTTCTTTGCCTAGGTCTTGAACCGAAAAATTTCTTTACCATGTATCCCTAACAGGGTAGAGTGTAAAAGATCGACACCAGAAAAGCCTAAAGACAAAATCGCGAATAGCATCCTTCATCGACTAGTGAGAGAAGAGGAGTGGGTTGAGCTCCAGGGCTGCTACGCAGCATGTGATGTCAGACATTTCCGTGAAGGAGAACAATTGATCAGTCTCAGTCACTTATTCATCCCCATTATTTGCGGTAGATATTGCACTTTTTTGTACGAACGATATCGTTACATAAAGTTCTGAAAGTGGCATGAGGGACCCTGACCAATAAGACCAATAAATGGGCCATTTTTGTCATTTGATAAAAAACTTGATTCGTTTGCATTTACCAAAAAATCCAGTCCCAGCGACATAGTAAGAGTTCTGCCTATAATTACCAACAAGTCAAATAACTTCACCCTCACCCGAAACAGCCACCCATTGGGCTAGCCGGCCAGCTCCCCTTCCCCGATCATTTATTTCAGTCAGTTTTGTAAAGATGTAGCTGCGTCCGATCTTAAAATTGACTTACCCACCGCCTTCATCACAGCTTGCAACTAATCCACCACGGTTCTACTTCTGGTGTGGTTAGTCAATTCATTATCAAAATCGAAATGGAAGTGCCACTGCTATGCCAGTCCCATGAGAGATACTAATCTTGAAATAACAATCCACATTTTAGCCGACCATGGTTTCACAAAAATTGCTCTTTGATCACGTCCCAGAAGTCGGGAAGCACAGGGCAAACTGAATTCCAACCCCAGAATAATCAAGAGCTAACAAGTCCCCAGGTTAAGAAGTAAAAGAATCAGGCATTTTACACTCAATGACTAGGGGAAAACGCCGTTAAAAGCTTGGTTATGGGGCTCTGAGTCAATTTGAATCAGCGCCACTAATGAATGCGTTTTTGGACGAGGGACTATGTGACGGGATCCACTAGTTGGTCAAGAGTAAGAGATCACAAAAGCCCAAGTATGGACTTTCGCCAACTCACATGACCTTGCATCCTATTTGCCTACGGCGATAATCATTGCAAAGTGAAAGACAGTTTCATAAAGGTTCCTGTATTTGCCTGGCCAGTGTCGAAATTAAATGTGCAAACAGAATCGGGTGGAAAATGTGTGTGTGCCTGTTTACCCCCATCCTCCCAGTCGATCAAACTAGCGTTGGGCCAACCTGTGAAAGGCAGACATGCGAAGGAAAGCTTAAAATTCCTTCCTTTTGTTTAAAAAAAATTTTCGGTGCCAGCAGTCCTTATCAACGGGGTTCTTTCCAAGTGCCACCAACAATCCATAAAACCCGATTTTCTGCACCAAATGAGTCGCTTTCATCGCTTTTTTTACAAAAAGTACCGAGGAATCGGGCGATTGATATAAGAAATTAATAATAGTACATATATAGTCCAGAGTGAAAGCCAAATTTCCACAATTTCGGATAATCGTAAAGATTGCGTGGGTAAATCAACACGACTCTGGGGGGCGTGGGTTCTGTCTAAACGCTGAATAAGGCGGTCAAGCTTAATTTACAGTCAGATAGGTGACTGGACTGTCCAACTCTTCGAGCACTTGGCACCACAAATACTCAGTAAATAAAAACCCACGAAAATTAACAACAATTAAAGTGCACACACAAAAATTTGGCTCGGTTTAGAACCGCACGTTTTCCGATAATTGTTTGAATAAACCAGTTCAACCTTCCTGAGGTTTGTTATATCGCTCGTAGAATACCTTACACTCCCGAGGAAGTTTCGCCACCGCGAAAGTGTTCTTTTAAAGGATATGACTTTCCAAGCTTTTTTCGAAAACAACTGTGAATTACTGGCGAAAATCTCAATTACCATTCACGGGATATTCATGTATGGCTTTAAAGCGTCCAATTATTTGACTACTTCTATAAACCAGAAGCATGTACAAAGCGCTAAATGAAAAATTTGCAGGATTTCGAAACCTCTCTCTCAATTTGAACGTTCAGCTGCCGACTTTAAGTCTACCTTATTCTTGTACAATCGTTTTTGGTATGGTTTGGGTTATATTTTAATGATTTAGAAACTTATACACTATGAGATCATTCATTAAAGCAAACTTATCAAACCTGAACAAATAAGAAAGTCAAAAGTGATCATCTTTCATGATTTGATGAAACACTTTTGACAATCATCTATCGCCTAAGTTATGCCTGTCCTTGAAGACTCACTCATAACAAGTAACTTCAAAAAAGGATGCAAATTTACATTAATGGAATAGGAACAAAAACCGGGAGTGCGTTTTTCTTTAAATTATAACCCTACGCTCAACAACAGCACCACTTCCGACTCAAAACGTACTTAATTAAACCTTCAATCATAATGATTGAGATTGAGTACCGTTACCCCCTAATCAGCCAATCCAATATGTAGGGCAGACTGCTAAGCCTATTGGTTGACGATAGCTGCTTAGCAATCCCACTTAGGGTACCATCAAATTTAGGTTAGCAAAGCGGCAGAACAGGCGAAAATGTAACAACGCAGGTATGTGTTATTGAAGGCCCCTACTGTCATTAGAGTTAGTGGGATTTATCGCCATTTAAACAGTTAGAAAGATCACAAAATGAACACTTTTAGCAGTCGAAATGTACTTTTAATTCACCGTGATTCGTGAGCTTAGACATAGCTTATCTCCTCCAGTAAAAATGAAGCCGAATCATCACAGATATATCTGTAACCGAAGGCTTCGGCTGGTTTTGGGGACAAAGAGGAGTCAGAATTTGTCATTATCGTTAACCCCACGAAGGGTGGGAGGAAGATGATAGAATGCAAGACTCACCATCTCCGGTGCCCCGCAGATTCAGCACCGTGGGCCGATGAGCGGAGGTGGAAGAAGAACGCGAATCGCGGACGGATCGTGAGCCACTGGAGGCGGCGGAGCCACCGAAGAAGTTGAGATCCCGGGGCCAGAAACGCCGCATGAGGCGTGCGATCTCCGGTCCGTCTATCTCATCATCTTCTGCCGCCCCTCCCGCTTCCGCACCGCCGGTCGTCGCGTGACAACTGCGTGACATTAGGTGACGCGCTGCTGTTCGGTTCGACACGAACATCGTCTATGAATAAAGGAAGAAGAGAATACAGTCTCACCTTCTTAAGCTGTCGCCATAACAAAATAGATTTACTAATCGTCGGAACACTACCGCCAGCCCGAATAAATATTCGAACTGGTAAAACAAGAAGCAATGACAGTCTAACACTATGCGGAGTTCCGAATATCAAATAAGAGCAAAACCGAGTACGAATATCAAGAGGAAGGGGAGATGGACGTAAGAAGCAGGATTTCATTCGATAAACCGCAGAAATGTATCTGTATTATAAAAACAATGGAGTTTTTTCATGAGAGAAAGCCTTAAAAACTGCCGACTAGAAGCCATGACTTTGATATCTTCTGGTGGGAGGATACTTTTTGGTCGACCGTGTAGCTATGATACTTCTGGCAGTGTTGGATAGTCCTACCTGTGTAGCTGATTACTGGTAATGAACTAGATTCATGAGGTGTGAATTTATAGCCCAAGCCTCGAAACCACACACATACATTTAACATAATTTTAAGGAAGTGAATAATACACCCTGAAAGACAGACTTACCAGAACCCCCCCCCCTTTAAATGTTTTTGACGGGTTCCTCTTTCTAAAATAAACTTTAATCTCGCCTACTAGTATTACATGACTCAATTTCTTGACCGGACATTTGCAACAGCCTAACTCAATTTTTGTTGAGTAATCAATAGGCGCAGTCCATTTTAAGTTGTAGAATGGATAGTCATTCTTGGCCTCATTCACAATCACTGGAGACCAACTTTTAAGACAAAAGCATTTAAATTAGGTTAAAACTCTTGCTAGGATAGTGTACTTCAATGCCTTTCAGTTAACCACTCCACTAGCAGGGCAAAAGTAGCTTTATTGTCAATCAAATTTAAAGCAAGGTTAGGGAGAAAAACACCCTTGCTTCTCTAGGGGACGGTCTTACTACGACCAATCTGGAAGTCCAAGTTTTGGGTGAAAAATGATCGCAATAGTAGAAGCAACGTCTTTTGCTTGAGTGAAAAATGCAGCCGCCACTAAAGCGTAACTTTCCGGGTAAAAGAAGGTCAACATTTTAAATACTAACTGCCCACTAGTTATTAGCACTCAAGTCCAGTTAGAAATAGGCTTTTAAAAAACCCATTAAGCATTACATCATGAACACTTCCTGTGTTATATCAATCGTTTATTTTGCAACCAGACACGCTATCGATTGTGCGTGACTGTTTTAAGGCGCGTTCTGCTGTGGCGGATAACATCACTTTAATTGCATGAGCCTTTTAGTTACCCGCGATTCAGGCTCGAGGTTGCTGATGCGCAGTTTGGCCTTTTCATTCCTTATTTCGCCAGTCCCTCAGTCTTTTTGCACACTAATACTAAAGCTACTTCATGACTGGTACGTCTTCGAAGGTGACTCGAGTATTACACTAATGGCAGCCGTGTGAGACAAATCCATACCTTCTATCCTGCAGGAACAACAACGCCTTCATCAACGCCTCAGAGGAGTGTGATTTCTAACGACTTCGTAAGAGGAATGCAAATGCTTTAATTGGTTGTCGGAAGAGACTCACAACAGAACGTCCAAATAAACATTGATTGTTTGCCAGTAACGAGGCGAGGTCAGACTTATCCATAGACAGGGAAAACAGAATTTCAGCAAGAATCAATAAAAAAGGGCTAAATTCTATTATTATGGCACCTCCACACACTGACGGAAACCATGCATAATTCGACTAGGTGACTGACAGCCATTAAACCGACAATAGAACCAAAAGAGGAACAACGCGAAGACCAAATGTTTAGGGAGGAAACAAGTGTTTCTACAAAACTCGATTGATGCATAAAGTGTACTGACAGTAAAACACTGTCTCCTCTCAGGCAATACGTTCCGAGTGAATCTTCTTAGGACAGAGGAGAAGCTGATGTTTCCGATAAAAAGTGAAGTAAACATCACTAATGGTGACGCAGTTGCAGAGCCTTTTAACGTCCATTGTTGACAGGTGGAGGAGCCGAAGAGAAAAATGGCCACAGCAGGATGGAGTAAACAGTACCCTGAGATGCCTTCTGACGTTTTTTCGCTTAAAACAGGTCCACTTGTTTCGAAACTTACTTGTTGGAGAAACAAGAAAACCTAATTAAACAAGGGGTGGTCGAGAGGAAATGGGTTAATTGGGTGGGGGAAGGCACTGTCCAAAATGCATAATTAGGTGACCGAGGTAGTGTGAAGTACATTTAAATCAGGTCAGATAAAGTGCAGCTGTGGCGGTAGCGTTAGCGGCGCGCATTAGGCTCTCCGTTTCAACGATCAAAAAAATGTCTGGTCAGCAAACTGCAGACTGAGTGTAGAGCTACTTAGAGAAACTCGTTTGGACTGTAATTAACATTCACAGTCGACTATGATAACTTATGCAATTGCATAAAATAATACTGACATTTCTGAGACAGTGATAATAGGGGATAGGTAAAAGCGGAGGATAGGGTTGCTGCAAAATCACTTACCAAACCGATTCATGGCGTAGTAAATCGACTCAAGTGTAGACATTGGTAGTTTTAGTCTGTAAAATGTTCTAAACAAATGCCGAAATTAGGAAATAAACCATCACAGTAACTGACTCGGTCGTTCAAACAGTAGGCAGAGCATAGAGAAGTTTGCTATACGAGGTTGCACATGAAGGTGGCAAACTTTGATCCATTCGAGCCCTGTGGGATCGCTCACTGTGTTAAAACAATTAGCGCCAACTTGGAAGACAGTACTGGTAATTATCACTGAGCTCACTGGGTGAAAACTCAACTAATCTCCTTGGACAAATTCAGCCTTGAGAATCGTCTAGTTTGGTGATTACTAGGAAGGTGCAGCAGTACTCCCTCAAACGCAAACCGCTGATTGTGGTTCCTCTCTTTTGATCTGCCCTTTTAATGCGAATTTCCTGCAACCACTGGTAGAAAACTACGCCAATTATGTGGAAATAAAGCAGTACTGCAGACATTTGGAAAATTATTAAACAAAGCATTGGACTGGAGAGTGCTGAGCAACTGATTTGTAGCAGTTAGTTAAGATGAGGCGATTTTAACGTGAAAAATAGGGCATCTACGAGCCAAGTGGAGGCCAGATTTGAACTGATATCAGGGTAATGGGCAATAATAAAATGTGCTCATGCCACTTTTGAGGTCCCGATACTTGTCAATTAATTGTAAAACAAAAGTCTACATTCCATAAGGGCGTCGCGAAGGTATATCACCTCTTCAAAATACAAAGATCAACATTATAATTGCTGCTTTCCAAACAGTTTGCATGGAACAATGAGCCAGATTAAAAATCTGTGTCACTACTTTCTGGCGAAATGACGAAGTAGCAAAGACCGCTTGGCAAACCTCAGTCCACGACCGTGGACCCTGTCCCTTCACTCAGAATACAGTGCGGAGAGGCCCTTTTTTGCGTTGAGCAAAGAGGTGGTAAAAAGGCCAGGTGCACACAAACAAAAATGAAAAAAAGGTAAGCACGAACCACAGAGGAAGTATTTTTGTCGGCTTTGGGAAGGCCAAACATCTCTATTGGCAGCCTAATTTACTCTCTCTAGGAAACAAGCACTCCACTGCGGGTGTGAATGAAGGAAAGAGCAGGATGTTTGAAATTTCGGGCTGGGCGGAGAATGGCTGCAATAAAATTAAGATTCGAACAGAAAAGAGGCGGTTTAATGACCTTTGGGATTTTTAAATGGCATAGAAATTAAAGCAACGGTAACGCTGTGTTTAATTGGTACTACCACCACGAAACAGATGAGCAGTTAAAAGTCGATCAGAATGGATTTCTCTACGACTTCTGCAAATAAGACAATAAAAGAAGGAGCATAGGTCCAGCCTAGGACGAATACTGGATAGTTCAAATGACTCCAGCCGGATTAAATTTCAGATACGAGGATGATAAATGATCCACCAAACAAAGTCTGTCGAATTTTTGACAATGAATAAGCATCCTTTTCAGCTGACCAGATCTGATTACATGAGAAGGCACGCAAGACGGGATAATTAGCACGTAAGGTCAAACGCTCAAAGCAGTTCCAACGTGAAACCCAGTTACTAGCGATTTTAATGAGATTTGGTATTCCGAGAATATCCCCATCAAGGGCGTGGGCTATCCCATCGGAGCCATTTCAGTGCGTCGAGGTCAATTTCCCGAAAAGTAGAGCGTTTGCAAACAGAGAAGACAATTTGCACTTGACGTTTCAAAAACCAAGAGAACGAGTAGTGTCCACCAAGCGTGAGTATTTTTGCGTTCAACAAAGACGTGTTAGATTTTACTGTATTCATCCACAAATTTTTATGTTGTACTTTTGAAAGCTGTCACAAATTAGGGTAAATTATGCTTATATGGGATAGACTTTTGTGAGTAAGGCTTTTTTGTATCCAATTAATTCACGGGGATCTAGTAACTCCCATTGATAGCAATAGCCTAGCCAGTCGAGTAGCCGCCAAATAGGAAACAGAAAATTTACCTGTATCAAAGTGCAGTTCGATCACTGGAAGCTAACTCGGACCTGGAGCTGAAAAGAGCGGTGTGATTGACTGAGATTTCCAAATGGTGTGAAGGGAGTTTAATAAAGGCAAAACTGGATTTCAGTTGTTTCATTAGCCCATAAAAATTACGGTAAGACTTGAAAAAACGCAAAAGAAACGAGCAAGCCAGTGTGAGCTTAGATGGAAGATCGAAAAGGGAATAATAAAACTGCGAAATTTAACAAAGGATAGATGGTTCCAATAACCTGCGTCTGATGAAATTCCCAAATTTAATAACTCTTACAAAATGGATGTTTAATGTTTTCCGCCTGCTCGCATAACAGGAAGGGTGTGGAAATATGCACAGGAGGCAGTAAAAGTAACAGCAACAAAAATGGTTTAAGGATCAAAGCCATTTGAAGTCCCAATTACGGACATGGGCCGTGGGTAGCCTGCATTCAATCACAAATCTATTATTTCATCTGTACGAGGGCTTTTTTATGTTACGATTCGAGTTATTTATCGCATCGAGATAAATTTCTCAAAACTACCCTTTTTAAGCAATGTACACACTGTCTGATGTTCTTAAAACGGAGAAAATGAGTGAAATAAACAGTTGTGCTTTCAGCCAAGACACAAAATTGCATTATGGTCGCCTGTAAATCAGGATGCTGCAGCATTATGAATGAGAGACCGTTGAAAGTTTAATAAACTTGAGATTTACAGCTTTTCTCCCTAGGTTGTGATATAAATGAAGAAAGGACAGCTTTTTAGTATCCTTCAACGTAAATCACATCAACGAAAAGTGTCCATTAAATCAAATGTACTTAGGAATTTGTCTCACTAATAGCGCACGCAAAGGCCCTGCCTACCGCTTCCCCAAATGCCAAGCACTGTAAATGTAAATAACAAACACCATTTTGGACACGGGAATGCGTGTGTGCGTACGCACATACGCATCGATATTTAGTCCACATGCAGTGGGAATCTGCATATATGCCCCAGAAAAAAGGCATTAATGGGATTTAAGAAGAGCAGCCATGATAACAAGGCTAATAGTGATGTCCTCCATCAGGCAGTGGGAGGGAAGATTTTCAAGTACATCGAAAAACCATGGGGTATGGAGGATGTTAAATTAAACAAAGGGGAGTGGTCATTATGGCTATTATTGGCAGGGGAGCTGAGGCAGAAAAAAATGGGTTAATAAAGTTTTACGCTTTTTTCCAAAACCATTAATTAGGGCAACAAATCGCACGCTGTTGGAGAATATAATGCCAACCTAACCTGTACGAACGATGGTTATAACTCTAGTGACTGGGCTAGAGGGTAGTATTTAATCTAGTAATGCCTGCAAATGCACTTTAAGCCATTCTACTACAGTGTGAATCAAAAAGGTCATCAATGTATGATCTAACTCTTACCAGCAAACTCTAGCTCCATAAAAATTTGTTAAGACCAGGGATAGGACTAAATTACTAATCTAACCAAGAGAAGCATGACATTAGTGGAAAGGTTTCGCAATTAACAACGTTTATTAGGTAAAAAATCACAGATCCTAAGGGCTTAACTCACCGAACGTGTAGTGGAACATTAGTCTAAATGTGTATTAATAAGCGCTTCATTTAGTATGATACTAAGAGCAATTCAAACGAGCTCATGTTAATTTGATGATGTAAATAATATACCACACACAAAATCAAAAGTAATAACTTTCGGCTTTTAGATTAACTTGTCTCCTGTAACGGGACTAGATGATAGAGTTTACCCAAGGAAAGTGCAATAATTGCTGACTCATCTCTTTAGAAAAAATGTTAGAGAATTCATTCCTTCGGTACAGAGTACCTTTTTGATCAGAGGCGAATGCAGGGGCTATGTTAATCACGCTGCCTTAGGTTTCCTTTAAAAAATGAACCAATCAAGTGGATAGCCATCGCATCGATGTAGGGGTTAATTTTACTAAGGAACATGGTGGCAGTGTAACCATGATAATGACCATAACGACAGCAATTAGCTTGGACTGATGTCCAACCAGTTAGCACTTAAAAAATGTATGTTTATGAGTCCTCAACTTCTTCAAACGCTGGTTGAAATAATACAAAAATCACTTTGTGAATCTAACATAGGTCAAACTGTCCATCAGATTATAGACCAAAAACGTGGGCGCTTCTGCGCTCGTCAGCGAACTAATGAGCAGGCGAATTAATAATCCCACCCAGAGAGAAAGGGGTCACTGTGGAAATAATTTCCTGAATAATATGATAGACGGAAGAAAAAAACGTTGCTCTATTTTCCTGCTGCAACAATAACTAAAGTGGTAAATGAGTGAATGAAAACGTCGAACCGTTTCTAGGTACATTTGTGGGAATCTTGCGAAACAATTAATGCCAACATGAACGCATTTCACGGACAACCAGAACATATTATTCCACACACCAAAAACAGCATGTTTAATCCATTTATGCGCCAATAAGAAACAATTTGAGAACAAGGGTAATTCAGCTTCTATCGAAATATTTTGCTTCTCATACATTATAAGAAAATGATGACTGTCAAATGATGACTTTGAAGATAAGCAGTTGAACAGCAGGATACTGATTTTGCAAAGAACGCTTACATGAAAATCACATTTTAACTTTCGAACTCAAGGGCATCCAAACGGTATTAAAATTCAAAAAATTTGGGAAAAAAAAGTTTCTGCAATGTTACCAAAGTAAACACACTGAAAAAACGGCTAAAGCGCATTGACTCACCAATGAATAGGTGCGAAAATAATTCACATCTGTATTACCAAGAAATTACTGCATTACCATAGGGAAGTGACCATAGGGAAATGATTCCAATTCACGGAAAGAGAAACAACCAATTAAATAAGAAAGCAAAGCTTATGTTTTCAATAATTGTTCATAATTAAAGCCTAGATACTTGAAGAAAAGATGGTAGGAGGTAGAATGTGAAGAGAAACTTCGAAACGGATGTGAACAAATCGAAAAAAAATGATTTGAAAACCATCTCACCGAAATTTTGTGTCCCTGGCCAGCCACACTAGTCACTGCAGCCAAGCCACCATCCGTTGTAGTATTTGCTTTGGAAGCAACGGGTGGAGGTCGTCCCATGGGATCGACCTCTTTGAAAAGAAGTTGTTGTGTGGCCAAATCCATGGTCCCGTTCCCAAACACCCGACTTAACGACGATCTCTTAGCAGCACCTCTATGGGAGCTTATCGAGCTCTCACCAGAGGTTATAGGTTCTGGTTCTAGTGGGCGTGGTTTATTAGATACCTGAAAAGGAGGTAAACGAACGCGTTGACACACATTAATGCATTGATAAACCGCATTCGTAAGAAAAAGACAGCACAAAACGATAAAAAAAATGCAGGCAACCACTTACCCAGTTAAGATACGATGGAACTGTGAATAGGTTTTCGTTGATTCTGAAAGTAAGTTGTGGTTCTTCGAGATAATCCTACAGAGGTGGGTTATGGACATATAGGCCCAAGTACCAAGTCCATAAGGGTATCTACATCACCGCCCACAAAGCTTGCACCATTACGACGAGAAAAATAATGCAAAAATTTTGGTCTGTAAGGAACATAAGTGCAGCAGTTGCCCATTTCCCAATGGCCAGTGAAAACGGCTAACACCGTTGGAACAAGCACTAAGTGGAATATCCATACAAACAAAAACACACGGCCTTACAACTTTTCAATATTCTATAAATATATTTTATCTGTTTACTTTTAAGATGTTAAAGATTATTATCTAATTAACATTATTTTAACTAACAGCCGACAGCTGCGCTTAAATTAAATTTCAATACTGCTTTACTACGCTGAGGCGATGTACATCAAGTCTATGGTGATTGATGGATTTAAGTCCTACTGTCAACGCACTGAGATCCCTGGATTCGATGTTCAATTTAATGCAATAACTGGCCTTAATGGGTCTGGCAAATCTAACATTCTAGATGCAATTTGTTTCCTGTTGGGTATTACAAACTTGTTTCATGTATGCTTTTGCGATTACTGATTTTTAAACCCCTTTAGATTCGGGCATCCAATTTACAAGAACTTGTTTATAAAGGTGGTCAAGCTGGTATCACCAAAGCAACTGTCAGCATTGTTTTTGACAACACCGACAAATCCGTTTCACCTTATGGCTATGAACAGTTTGACGAGCTAACGATAACTCGCCAAGTGGTTGTTGGTGGCAAGAATAAATACTTGATTAATGGGACAAATGCTACAACCACCCGAGTGCAGGACCTTTTTCACTCTGTGCAACTGAATGTGAATAATCCTCATTTTCTTATTATGCAAGGACGTATTACAAAAGTCCTAAATATGAAACCCCCAGAAGTACCTAGTCTTATTGTTTTTTTACTATTTGACAGATTTTATCTCTTTTGGAAGAGGCAGCAAGTACAAAGTTGTATGAGAGTAAAAAGGAGGCTGCTCTTAAGACGATTGAAAAGAAGGATAGCAAACTTCGAGAAATTGACAGAGTAATACGAATTTGGCCGTTTAATTCCCTAGGTTTTATACGAAGACATCACTCCGACAATTAGAAAACTTCGCGAAGAGCGTAGCAGCTACTTGGAATACCAGAAGGTCGTTCGTGAAATCGAACATCTCTCCAGACTCATTGTGGCGTATGATTTTACTCGTCTTGAGGAAGCTAAACAGCGCAGCAAGGATGATCTTGTCAGACTGGAAACAAATCTTTCGTCTGCGAAGGAGAGCCTTGAACAGGTTTGATTCTGAAAGCTGGTGCTGTGATTTTCTATTTATAGTTGAACGCACAAAAGGCTGAGGTTGACCAAAACATCGTTAATCTAACAGAGGAGCGCCAAACGGTGAGTTGTTCCTCGTTACTGATCACTCAGAATTACTTAATACCGGGTGATTTGTGATTTTTGTAAAAAGTCGTTTTTCTGGGATTCTCCTGCTTCTCACATGTGGCATCTTTTTTGTTTGGAAATCCTGCTCATTCATTACTTGGAATACAGACCTCCCTGTCCCACAGTTTTGAGTGCCGCGATTTCGACCTATTTTATGACCCTTTCGAAAGCTGTCAGAATGGTAGAGGGAAGCCTACAGCCAAACTCCTAAGTTAAAAACTTACCAGCGTGGAGGTACCATAAAAAATCATTCGGGATTCCACTCTCTCAACGCTTCGGTTGCTATTCACCGAATTCTGTATTACTGTTTTCAAAGCCCACCTTTTTAAACAGGTTGGTCTGAATCAGGAATGCTCCTAATTTTGTCGTTCGAGACGATAGGTTTACAACAAGACTATTTTTTATTGACTGCAGGATCGAGTCGCCGCAAACGTTGTTCCACCAATTTTAAATGCACATCTCTTTAAGCGTTCTTGGTCTTTTCTGCACCATAAAATGCAGCTATTTTTAAAAGAATTCCTTTGGTTTATTCCATTTTTGAAACTTGATCAGGAATATCACCCAATTTTGGGAATCAACCTGTAAATTAGTACCATCGCTCTCATAGAGATAACGGTTAAAACCTTGACTTTTGAGCAGGACATTTCTGGACAATCTGGCGTTTGATTATTACCGAAAATAAACTAACTAAAAAGTGCCATTTTTCATGCCCTGTTTCAAGTACATTTTATCGGCTCTTGCAGTTCTTTGCCAATCTCTTGTGCTACTGCCACTAATAGTTGCTAAAGATTTTCACTCCTGCTTGGGGCTAATATTTGTTAATGATCTTACAAGTCGTCGTTTCCATTAGCGGTAATAAGGTTTTATTTTATGGATTAATTTTCTTTGTTTTCCTTATTTAAAATTAAATTCCTGCTTTTCTATCCTACACAATGACTAAATTCACCTGTTATTATTTTGTCTTCACGTATTACTGACCTTGTCACTTCAGATGTTTGTTTTAGTGGAAGTTTTACAGCTCTGCTGTCTCTACTAATTGAGAATTGAATCATCAGAAATGCATATCTTTAATAACAGTTTTATCTTATTTCAGTTGCTAGGCTCCGCACTAGAGGAAGCAGAGCGGCTACTGACAGAGCGTCAGAAGGAGGAGGCGGTGGTAGCGGGCGCATCAACTCGCGCTGTGGAGCACCTGTGTGCTGCGAAGAAGCAGCTTCGCTCCCTCGACCTCCAGTCGGCCGAGGTAGCCACCCATTTGGCAGCTAAGCAGCGTGCCGCTGAGGTCGCTGCCGGCGCCGAGTTCCATGACCTCGAGGAGGCTGCAAAGCAGGCGCAGGACGCTCTCACCGAAGCACAGGCAAATTTGGCTGTAGGTTTTCTTCCTCTTCTTACTCTTTTTTCGCTCTTCTCGGGTTCTGTTTTCGCCCACCCTTTCCTTTTTTTAGGCGACCACCTCGGGTCTCGGTGGTGGTGGGTCATCCTCAAAGCGTGCTGGAGGCCTGGCGGAGCAGGCTCGCATGGCGGAAGGTCATCGAGTGGCGGTGGAGACGGAGTTGCGTCAGCTGGAGATGCGGGAGGATCATCTGTCAAAGGAATTGGCGAGTGGGGAGATGAAGCTTGCAGCGATGGAAGCGAAAAGTGGGAAGGAAGGGCAGGCAGAGGCACAGAAGCGACGCCAGCTTGTGGAGCAGATAACGAAAGTGAACGAACAGTTAGAGGATATCCGCAGGGCGGATGAAGAGGCAGGTGGTGATGAGGCTGCAATTACCAGTTCGTTTTCTTCCTCTTACTCTCCCTCCTTTTTGTCTTCTCTAACTCCCTTTTTCTTCATAGACAGATACAATGAAGAAGCAAAAGCGACACGTCTGTTGCAGGCTCGCTGCGATGAGTTGGGACGTCAGTTTCATCAGCTACAGTTTGAATACACCGATCCGACGCCAAATTTTGATAGGAGGCAGGTCTATGGTGTGGTGGCAAAGCTGTTTGACCTCGTCGATCCCAAATATGCCACTGCTATTGAAGTTGCCGCTGGTGGGAAGGTGAGTTCATCGTTGTACTCGTTAAATTTCCATATTTTCTAGCCGGATCATTTCTGATTGAAAAAGTCGCTGTCCATGAAAAGGCTAAATAAATTACTTATTCTATTATTGACACATTTGTTATTTATCATTCGTAAATAAAAACTAGAGAAAAGTAGGTTATCAAAAAATCTGGAGTGATTTGCGGTATAGCTTGCTGTCATGACTTGTAGGCACTCGTAAAATATACTTCATTGGTTTTGTGGATGCTTTACGAAACGCGGATAGCAAATCATCGGTTTGTCGGTACGGTACTCTCCATTGCGTCCTGTCACTCCGCTTTTTTAAACTGGGCTTAACTCAACTTCAAAGTTGTGACCGCGAGTGCTTCTTGTATAGCACCACAACGCAATAACTTCGGTTTTTAGTTCTGTTGTATTTCAGGTTTAAGAAGGGATGTAATACCACTCCAAGTATTGTTTCACTGCTCTTCTGTTGGTCAAGAATTTGGTTGTAACCTTAACTTTCGATTCAAATTTGAGTAGTTTACTCACTTTCAGAGCTGGATATTTGATATATTTTGACATTACACTCTCCTGTTGTCTTAATAAGGCGTACTGAAACAGATTGGGGACTGTGAGGTGTATATTTAATCATTTAAACTTCTACATGTGTGGCTGCTCGTCTGTAGCTGTACAACGTAGTGGTGGACACCGAGACGACGGCAAAGGCACTGTTGGAGAGGGGACAGTTGGCGCGGCGAGTAACAATGCTACCGCTCAATCAGATGCGCGGGTCTCCGGTGCCAGCGGAGGTGGTGCAGCGAGCTGAAGCTTTGGTGGGCGCGGAGAATGTCGCACCCGCTCTCTCCCTGATTCGCTACCCTCCCCATCTCAGACCCGTCATGGAATTTATCTTCGGCGGTCTCCTTGTCTGTCCCACCCTCGACTACGCTCGTCGTGTTGCCTTCCATCCGGGGGTGGAGAGACGCACCATCACCTACGACGGTGATATGTTCGACCCACAGGTCCGTTTCTCACTGATCGCATTATCCTTATCGTTAAAGCTCGGAAAGTCTAGGAGGCCGGTAACTTTAACGGCATAATCTTATTTTCGTCTTACCATCGTAAGAACTGGATCTTCGGGGCTGAAATGTCGCATGTAATCATGTATACATTCGAAGCAAATGTCATTATGTTACAATGCCATGTGAAATCATCACGGAGTCCGCGGATTTGTCGGTTATTTTTTGACAGCCTTGTACATTTATTTGAGTGAGGTTAGCAGATACTACAGTGCGTAAAACGTTCACACATTCGTAAAATTAATGAGTTCCTAGTTTTAATTTCTCAGTGGTTAGTTGGACTGGGATTACTCTGTATTCCGGTTTTTTTACTTTGAATTTTAGGAAGATGAAAAGAAGTAAGTGGAAGGACTCTAGTGCATCAGTTTTTGTGGGCACACACTTGGAAGCATCGGGGTCTCCGTCACACTAAGAGATTAATCTAATACAAGTTTTTCATTATTTAAAAATGTGCCCTTTGCTCCATTTGTTATGTAATAACAGCCCTTTTTGACCCATATTTTTGTCTTCTGCCTTCAGGGTACACTGTCAGGTGGTTCACGAACAAGCGGTGGCGGCGATACTGCAGCCAGTTTGCTGATTCGCGTGGCACAGTGGCGTGCAGCGGAATGTGAAGCGGTGGAAGCCACGACTCGCGTTCGGGCGACGCAAGAGGCACGTGAGGCCGCGGTGGAGCGCGCACGCCGACGTGCTGACCTCGCCGAGACCCTTGATCGCGCCCGCCACCAACTGGCGCTCGTTGAAACCAACCTTCGCCAGTCGGACACTCACCGTCTTCGCTCCGATCTGGAACGTCTGAAGGAGGAACTCAGTAAGTTTTGGTCACCTTCAAAATTTCCAGCCGCTTCTTAAACTGATTCCCCACGGCGAAATCGTTGTGGCAGTAGTGTCATTTACATTCAGTATGGAGTAGTTTTCAACTGATTTACTAAGGTTCTCTTTGGTATTCTCGTCTTCCGTTGAAGTTTAGTCTCGCCGTAGACCAGCATATATGCACCAGTTAAGATACCTACGATCAATGTCTGAAGTTAGGGCTCCAATGAGGGTTGATTTGGAATGTGCTTGGTGGTCAGAAGAACAAGGCAAACTCTAGTGGTACCTTATTTGGACCAGTCAAAAGGGAAGGAACTTAAACTATCTTCCGTTTTCTGTTGTTTCTGGTTCTCCTACTGTAATCTCTGTCTTGTGAGGCATTGCCTTCGTCTAGAATTTTGCTGTTAAGCTGCCAAAGTGGCTTTCTTTAAGTCAGTCGGTAATGGAGTCTGGAATATGATTTGCTAAATTGTAAGAGGGATTCTCCGCCGTGTGCTGTGAAAGCAGAGGCCTTTGTTGTTGGGTTGTGGCAAAAATGGAGACGATGCTACTCTGGTTTGGTGTTCGTGTTGGTTGCGCACTTTGTTGCCTCTTATTCGAATCAAAACCTGCACACAGTCCTTTCAACTCTTTCTTGATTGACATTCACTGAACCATTTGGAACTGACCGACCAATTTGGCTGTCGGTGAAGGCAAGCTAACGTGTAATCTTTCGGTGAATGGTCTAGCTATCCCACCATTCACAGACGTATGGATCAATGCTGCACAAGGCTCTAATCGGTGATTTGGACTTGCATCGCAGCACTAGGTGAGGGATGATAACTGGTAGGGTCGGTGGTAGTTGAATTGGAGTGCTTATAATGAATCCGGAGCATGCGCGGTTGATTAGCGAAGGGCTTTCTTTACCCCTTTTAGAAGGAACTGGAGGCGTTTGTCAATGTAAGTAGTGGTAGCAGTGACTTCGATGGTGATTTCATCTGGACTTTTGGCTGCAGGATTGGTGTAAATGATTATTTTTTAATTCTACTTTCGACAGCGGAGGTGGGGGAGTCGCTGAAGCGCGGTGCTATGCGTTTAACGGAGGCAAAGAAAGCGGCGGCGGAGGCGCAGTGGCGGGTGGAGCACGCGCAAGAGGAGGAGGCGCGGGCGCTGCGCGAGGCGGAGGCCGCGGTTCAAGTCGCCCGGAAGCGTGCCGACGCGGCGGAGGAGACACTGCGGCAGAAACAACGTCTTAAGGAGACCCTTCGTCTTGAGGCCGACGAACTGGCTCGTGAGTTGGAGCAGATAAAGGTACGCTCTGCCTTTTGGGCCTCCTACAGCTGTTTGGTTGGGTCGGTAGATTCTTCACCAGCAAATTTTTTCTTGTTGCCGCCCTTTCGTGACTCAAATGTAATAGTAGGGTGGCTTTACAGATCCCCACGCCTTTCATGCTCATCTTTGAGGTTCTCTGCAAATAATTTTTTCCCGGCCATTCTTCAGTATCCTATTTAACTACCGAAATTTTGCCCTGGTTATTGATGCTGAAACATCATCTCAGCCGCTCCCATCTTTTGTGGTTTTTTTTTGATTCCTTTGGTGTGATATTTTTACCTCTTTGATAAGAGACCTCCTAATGATCGCTTTATTTGGTTATTCGTTAGGCTCTTTTTTGGATAAATAACCACTCATTTGAATTCGACAGCTTTCCATGCCTCCGCACTGAGTTTGTGATTTTGTATTGAAAAACTGATTAGCACTGCCTTTTAGCCCCCTCGTTTCACATTAGTGTTACCATGACGTCTTCCACGTCATTACCATCTTTTGTGTAGAATTGAACTTGCTTGGGTTCGGTGCTCTCGATTCCTCTACTGGTGCCTTTGACACCCTTTTCACATATCGGCTCTATACGAAGGTTCTGAACCTTGTTTATTCTCTTCTTTCGCAACATCATTGTGTTTGGCCTTGTGGATTGCTCCGTTGAATCGATGATTCTGTGATCGCTGCGAAAGTTTGTTTCATTATCCTACTTTTCATAAACGTCTCTGTGGTTTCCCGTCTTCATGGGTGATCTTTACTTGAATGGTTGAGTTTTTTTAATGCTTTTCTAGATAGATTTTGCAGTATTAGGTCTTGGGTTGCCTTTGTAAGGGCAGGACCCTCCTGCTGACCGACTCTTCTCCTCACAAAGAATTTGGCTTTTCTCGGATCCGTATTCTTTCGTTTACTCCTATGCCTGATGCTGAAGTCAACCTTGCGGTAGGTTGACTCCATGCGGTGGCTGATTTTACTGTGTTGCGTGAATCCGGTTTTTACAATGCCTTAGTGGTTTCCTAATTGTTCTTGGTCTTTCATGGTGGAACTTATTTTGAATCTTGACCACTTCATACATTTAATCGGATTGGACACCTAGTTGGTCCGGAAATAATGCTGTCTGTCTTTAAACAATTAGAACATCAATACGATATTCTTTAACATTCTCACCTTCGGTTGAGACTGGTTTCCTCCTACATCCGCATCCATTCTTCCGTTTTTACTTTCACATTCGGTATTCTGAATCTTTTCCAACTCCTATACATTGTTTTATTCTGTTGGAAAGTAAAACTTTTAACTTTCTTATCCCACTTGCGAACTTAGGCTTCAACGGAGCTGAGTCGTGGCGAGGTGGCGAGCGCCGAGGCGGCAGTGGCAACTACGGAAGAACAGTTGAAGACTGCGAAGGCGGCGCTGACGGAGGCGCGGGCTCGGGTAAAGGAGCAGCAGCGACTTGCAGACGCTGCCGCCGCGGCCATCCAGACGGCCAAAAATGAAGCCGGACGCCTCAAGGAGGCAATTTCCGCCACCACCTGCGAAATCGATCGTCTCACCCATGACGTCGATATCCACAGCAGGGAGAGCAAGGAGGCTACCGTCAAGGTATGTGCTCCGCTCCTCCCCCTCTTGCCTTCTATGGCCTCTTGTCGGGCTGTCTTAACAACTTACCGCGTCTAGTCTTACTTCTTCCCTACGCCCTCTTTACTACTCTGTCGTGTGACCTCCTCAAAACGGAGAATCCACCCACCCATTTACTGTCAGTCATTTCTCTTGAATTTTTACCTATTTGAACATTCTGAGGTAACTTCCATTTGGTCGTTGAACTTTGACGAATTTTTCAGTTTTTAAAAATATTCCATAATTAGAATAGGTAGATAGTTTTTCATGCTCTACTGTCTTGGACCACCACTTTGGTTCCACTTTAGTCTTGCCCATTCTGCTGACTAGCTCCTATGCATCCGTGTTTCGAAATGCTTGCTTTTTCCTGAAAATATTTGTGCTTATGCTTTAGAAAAAGCTATGTTTAAAAATATCTTCGAATTAAAGTTTCTTCAGAGTTTCCATGTTGTCGCCAACTCATCTTTGTGTGCATAAAGGTAATATTTGCAATGGGTCTCTCTTACTAGCTTGCACAAATGCTGGAATCGAACACGTGGATAGCGGAGGAGCGTCACCACTTCGGTGTAGCAAACGGGCCCTTTGATTTCGGCAAGCGGGACCCCAGTGAGGCTCGTCAGCGCGTGGCTCAGTTGAGCGAGCGACGCGACAAGCTGAGCCGCACGGTGAACATGCGTGCGATGAATATGCTGGGCACTGCGGAGGAACAGTATGCTGACCTTCTGCGCCGCCGCGAGATTGTGCTGGCGGATAAGCGCAAGATCCAGGCGGTCATTGATGACCTGGACGCACGCAAAGAGCAGGTGCTGCGTGCCGCTTATGATAAGGTGAATGCGGAATTCAGCAACATTTTCTCTTCCCTCCTGCCTGGCACCCGTGCCCAACTTGTACCCCCAGAAGGACAGACCATTCTAGAGGGTCTGCAGTTCCGTGTGGCATTTGGCGACACCTGGAAGGAGTCACTGAGTGAACTCTCTGGGGGACAGAGGTTTGTCGACTCCTCTTTTTATCCATTCTAACCTTCCTTGGGGTTCCAGGTAATTCTTTTCTTCCTAATCACATCTCACTGATGAACTGGTTTGAGGGCAGAAAATCTTCCAAAGGAGGCTACAGCTATACTTAGCCCTTGCTGGGATTAAAATATGTCGGCGACGCCTCCCACTCATATTCTTAAATTCCCATGGTCTTATTTACTGACCTCATACGAGGGGAATCCACACTGCAAAAGCTGCCATAATGTGCTGAATATCCATCTACTCGCCTATGCAACCACTTTCTAGGTCGCTGGTGGCCCTGGCGCTGATTCTGGCCTTGCTGCTCTTCAAGCCCGCGCCCATCTACATTCTGGACGAGGTAGACGCTGCACTAGATCTCTCACACACCCAGAATATCGGCCAGTTGATCAAGAACCATTTCAATAATGCTCAGGTAGGCCCTTGCGATTCAGTCTCTCGGTCGTCCTCTCATGTAAATCTTCGTGTATATATCGCCTTCCTGTCTCCAGTTTATAGTAGTCTCCCTGAAGGACGGGATGTTCAACAATGCCAACGTCCTCTTCAAGACTAAATTCGTGGATGGTGTCTCCACGGTGACCCGGCACACGCCTTCCACCCCCTCCTCCGCTTTGGCTTCGGCGGCATTGCGCCCCACGAAGGCTAGTGGCGATGCGCGGCCCCACCAAATCGGCAGTCGCCGCAAGTTGGCTGCCTAGGCTGCTGCTGCTGCTACCACCAGCATAGTGCATTTGTTCATATTTTGTATCAATTTATCCGATATTAATGTCACTATCAATGTAGAAGTTTTCGTCCTCGTCGTCTATTTGTGCGTCCTTATGGCTTGTCAATGGCGGATGCCCGGTTAAGCTATCTGCCTGTTTTGCGAGTCCGTGGGGTATCTGTGCTTAGTTGAAATATTGGGATTTCGGGTGACCCAACGGCTTTGGGGTCTGCCTTGGGCGCGCTCCCTGAGGGGCCATACGGATTCGCCTTTGGGGGGTGTGAGTTGCTTGGTCTGCGATCCTTGGCATTCTGTCGCCGCTTTTCTATGTTTCGCTGTTTGTTGGAACCGCGTGGGTTCTACAGGCGTTCTAACTTGACTTTTTGTGCTATCTGGCACCGACCAAATGTGAACTTTTTGTTGGGAACTATCGCTTCCGGTGCCTATTACATGAAGTCCCCCGGCTGCGCGGACGTGGGACCCTCTAGAGCTGATCATCTCTTTCGCTGCTCTTCGAGGCTTTTATAGGCTTGTCGATGGAAGAAAGACTATGTCTAGTGAGACTAGCGTGGTACTCATTCCTATTTCTTCTAGAGTAAGGTTTGGCTTTTGCTTTGCATTGTGATCTTACTTTGACTCGAATACAGTGTTTCAGAATGAAATCCTAGTTAAATTACAGAAGATCTTTGTGATTGGCTGTGACTAAATATGGAGTGTAAGTAAAAATAGGTACATAGAAGCAGGACTGCTTAGGGAGCCAGCTAATATGCCCTATGATACTTTATAGCTCGATATTCATATGAAGGACCTACATATATTGCTGTTGATTTACATTTATCTACTAACTCACTTATTGTTGGTGCTTATTGTGATTAGGTCTACTACAATCAATGCACGAGTCTCGCACTAATTATTTGAAAAATGCCTAATGGGAGTTTTAATGAGTAAATGCGTTATTAATGTTGAATGACCTTGGAGTCCTTTCTCGGAGCGCCTTGTAACACGGTTCAAAGGGCTGCTTTACTTGGTCTGTCTCGGTATGTCGGTAGAGGCGGTTGTCAAGCAGGTGGATGGCGATGTACGTGTGTGAATTGTTTGGTGTTTTCTGACCAATATACAGTTGGTTGTCATGTCCATTGATACTTTTTGTGTCTTCTGGTTCCCAGCGGTCACTTTTCATTAATACACATCTTTGACTTTAGCAGCCCCGTAGTTCGATGGTGTTTGAGTTATTCCTTGTTTCGTTGTTGGTGAACCCTGAATTTTGTGAGCCATTTTTTTCATTTTTGCTTTTTCAGGCTCTCGAGGCAGCTATCAAGGGGGACAAGCTCCTCGTTTGTGATTTCTTCGCAACTTGGTGCGGCCCCTGTAAGTCGCTCGCTCCCAAATTAGACGCAATGGCAAAGGAGAATGAAAAGGTCATCTTCGTAAAGCTCGACGTCGATGAGTGTCAGGTATGGTTATTTGCGTATTGTTTTCTGCTCCCTCCTAGTGCATTTAACTAAACCCTCTATTTTAGGATGTTGCGGAGAAGTATCGAGTTACCGCCATGCCTACTTTGATTGTATTTAAGAATGGGTGTGAAATCGGTCGTGTTGTCGGAGCCAATGAGGCTGGCATTAGAGAACTCATCCAGGCAAACGCCTGATTCATCATATTAAAAGAATATTTTTAAATAAAATTTTATCGTGTTCTTGTCTCCTGTCTTTACGTATTCTCTTCTGTAGTTCGACCTTTGTCGCTCCCCTCGTTGCCTTTTACCTTTCCTGACCTTGTTTAACGTGGCTGTGGCTACTTATTTGCCTCGTTTTTTGACGGTTTCGGCCTCCTTCATGTACATTCTCTAACGGGAGAGATTGCTTTTTTCTTCTGATCATGGACACGGTGGGAAGGTTGTCGTGGTGCGAGTTGAGCCCGTGCTGATGTGAGCGAGATTAGGCGCCCGAGCCCCAGGAATGCCCGCGGCGGCTCTCGGTAACGTGACGTACTCTTTCTAGAACAATCTCGCAGCCATCTCAATTCACGGGTGGCATGTGGGAGCGCCAAGTGCTAACCGGTTTGACATTGATTGTATGCACACGTGCGTACGCCAGGCGTCTTCTGATTGGTTGGCTCGTCCGTTGACGTAGCCGGCGCCGTGATGATGCTGCTAACCTAATTTCAGCGGTAAAATCTTAGGCGCCATGGATAGTTTCATCCGTTGGGTCTGCGACTGGACGAGGTAACGTCTGCCGCTTCAGGTAGATTGCGTCTTAACAAGGATGAGGAGTGTCTATTCGCTCTGGTTGTACGCTAGTTAGCATCGTCATCTGTCTGTATCATTTTCACTGGTTAGCATCCGTTCTTCCCAAAGGTCTTGTTTACTTTAGTGGAAAGGTGCCATCTGATTGTGGCGATTTTCAATCACTATGGTCCAAATTCTTGCATATTTAACTTCCTCAAACTCGTCAAAGCATTGATCGGACGTGTAATATGATATTCTGGTTCCAGGTGTAACTGTGTTGTTGATAGTGGGTGGGAATTTTGGGTCCGCTTTGCTAGTACTCACAGTGCCTCCCATGTTAATTTGAGGAGTTGGCATAGCTTGTTTACAAATGAGGTTTGTTACCTTGAAATGGGTCATCATCACAGATGGTGATTGTGAGATGGTTCAGCAACAATCGTTTGTAGAGTGCAGGTGTTTATCTCCTCTGAAATAAAGTTCCAGCATTCCCCGCAGAGCAACCCCGTTGGCTCTCCAGTAAGATCATGTATCTGCCCTTCAGAGACCACAGGGTGTAAAGCGAGAAAGTTCACATGCGTGTGTGAACACATCTGCCTCCACTTCTACCTCTGCATTCACTTGCTGGCATGTGCGCCTTTGTGCACGTATACACAGAGTTGTTAGCCGATTGGTGGTCAGATTCTTGCAAGTTTACAGGACGACTTCGTCGCCTACGTACATCTCCTTAGTCATCTGTATCATGACGGAAACGGGTGTAATTCACCGGCATCTCTTAATGTTGGCAGTTTGGTGCGGTTAGAGGTCCGCTTCAAGTGTTAAAAGTGCACCAACTCTCAATGTATTTTGGAAACGTCAAACATCCCGTGGTTTTGCCCATTTGCCGTCATTTACGGTGTTCAAGTGACTTAGAAAAAGTTGAGGCATTAAAACTTGGCCGTCTTTGAGTTAAACACCTTCGGATACGGGAGCGGACTCCGGTCCAGTCCCGACCTTTCGTTCAGTCAGTTATTCTGTGCTGACCCAGACAAGGCTAATGGGCTGTGACTCACCGCATCGACTGATGCATATTCTACAAAGGTCTCAGCCGGGCATCGATGCCCCATCGCCCCTGCTAAGAGGCTGTTATTAGCAGTCTCTATGCGACCTCTCATCACCACGATTTTGCAAGTCAGCCATATCACCCAAAACTCCATTTAGGTTCACAGGTTAGAAGCTCGCAATTCATGTTGCCAGCAAAACTAATTAGCCAGTTCAATAAAGATGTGGAACTAAGAAACTTTCACGTAAATTTACAACAGTGGATTAGGTATGCAATGCTCTTATTGGGAGCGACCTTTTATTGATAGTTAAAGCGAAGTCAGCCTATTCACTTTGGTTCAAAAGTTGAGTACCCTCCAACTTGGCGCCCGAAACTGTTGTCTCATTCAACTGTTGGCTCTAAAGACGACAGCGATTGGTCACGGGACGGGATTTCAGTTTGCGACAAATCGGCAGCTACCACACTTTGTAGCTAGTTTGACGGAGACAACTTGGAACGAGGTTGAGATGTCTTGAACTATGAGAACAAAAGTGTGCCTTTGAATTCGATACAGCCAAGGGTGATTGGCGTAATTTCATAAACGAATATATTTATGGTATCTTTGTTATTTCCTATTTTGTGTTGAATCGGCAAAAACTTGCCACATTGAGGCGGTCCGTCGAGGGATCATACTTTGTGATTATTTCTCTTCATGAAATGGAATCTGCTTGATGGAGCATTTAAGCAGTACATGCATTCCAACAATCGCCTGCCGCGAAATGCCCTGCTAACAGGCACTTAACACACGAGGATGCTTTGAGAACTTATGGACTGATTTTCGGAATAAATGAAGTCATAAAATCTATCTATGAGGCAAAAAACTGCATCGTTGCAACCTAGCCTCGAATTAATTTTTGCGTTGTTGCGGCCTGCCCTCTAATAAGACCTTAGAATTTGAGGGTTATAGCTCAGATGCTTTGACTGCCTAACTCGTCTTCGATAGATGAGTCTGACCAATCACCATGGCTCGCTCACGGCGTACGAAGCCAATGTTTAAAGGCAAGGTGGTGAGGAGCATGCCGGATTGAGGCAGAACCTACTGATTGGGTTTTCATCCAAGGGACGAGGTGAAATCCGAGAAAATGTTTGTGCAAGAGCACACAAAGACCACCTGGACGTGTGTAGCTGCGTAGCATATACACGGGTGAAATTGCATCTGCAGTGCGCCAGAATCCCATGCCATCTCGATTTTCCTAGAGCTCTCCACCTTCCTACCCCGCAGAAGACACGGAAACACCCGAGTCTACGTTTGCACCTTGGTTTGCCAAATCGCAGCACCTCTTCCGACTTGAAGAATGTTGCTAACATCCCCGTACCGACAAAGCCAGTCGGGAGAGGTCACTTTGGCAAGTCTCAACACATGCACGGTTCAGGCGTGCGCAAAGCCAAAGTCTGACCAACTACATCACCTCACTACAAAACGCGCAGAGAGCAGTGACTAAGACGATGATAGACGCAGGCATTGGCATGATAATCCACCGCTGAAACGAGCGCCCGGTCCCAACCACCTGAATACGACCTAAGGTCGGCGCATTAACTGCAAAATCACTTAACACAAAGGACATGGACATCCACACCAGTTAACCACGGCGGGCACACTGAGCCCACCACTGAAACATCCAGCCACTGGACCAGATAAAGGAACCAGCAAGCGTCAATTACGCAGCCGAGGCCGCGGCGACACCCTCACAGCGGGGGCGGCCCACCAACACCAAGCCATGAGACAAGGCACGCGACCCATCGAAAACAGCACGACAAAGTGCGGCGGACGCAACGCCGCAGCAGGCGCGAGACATCCAAATGACCCAAAGGGGGCCGCCAAAAAGGACAAGGCAGAACCACCGCTGAGGAATCAACTCTAGCAAACCGCCCACTAGCCAAGACGCCCCAAAAAACTGAAGAGACTCCCCCCTAACAGGGTTCACAAAACTCGGCACCCATCGAGGAAAAGGTGCACCAAATTAAAAAGACAAGGCAAACATTTAAATAACTCTTCTTGATTCGCTTACAAAGTAGTAAACAAAAAAGTTCCCGATCGTCAATCTACAATGAGGAAAACAGCCCCTCCAAAGTTTATAAACACGATCAGTCCTGTTGAGCTTGACCATCACGAGTTCACGCAAATGAAAGTCACATCATTTATCTCACCTTAAATTGTCCCCAGCAATGCATCATCCACCTGAAAGCAAGGACAAAAAAACTACATGGACGTGATCAAAACTTCAACTTCGTATCAACAGTGTTATTTGATTTTCCAAGTGTCTGAAACCCAAACACAAACGATGACAAACATCAATTTTGCGTTTTTACGAAGCAGAGTTGCAATTAACGCTGCCAGATACCAAACGCGAGGCTAAGCGATCGACATAACGTCATACCAGTGGGAGCGATGTGCCTCCCAACTTGTTTGGGAGGAAAACAGGAGCCCCGAATGCGGAAATCCTGCAAAAATAAGCGGCGAGAGAAACTAAAAGGGCATCAGACCTATCATTTGACAATCACGAGTCAACTATATTGGCTCAGGATTTTCATCAAGAACTTACTTCATCAACGTAACCAGGAGTAACGCCTTTTTAGACCTCTCAACCCCATTTGAATTCTAAAAAAAAGTAAAAACCAGGGCTGTGAGTCAGATACTATCTAGCAAAAGTTGCCTGCATGCACGCAGATAGACAAGTTACATCACGAGGGCAAACTGCACGCACGTGGCGACGTGAAGACAGTAAAACATAATGCTTGTTGACTTAAACAAGAAAGGCTCAGGCGGAAAACTGGCCGGTGACTCGTTGTTTTCAAAAGCCCAATATCTTCTAAATTATGCCTTTCTCCTGTATTACTTAAGCATTTGATCAACGTTTTTATTTGGTATAAAATATGAGTTCCCCAGAATTTCCCCAAAAATATATGACGCATCACTTTTTGATAATCTTTGAAAATGAAATGTTTTAAATCTGGCGACATGGAACAATTCTTAGCGAAATAGATAAATAACCCCGCAAGGATGTAAGACTGAAAAGCAATCGGCCAGAGCGGAGGCTTGAATAAGTGACACTTTCGACACTTTCTATCCTACTCTTAAAGCCCCATGTTATGATATATTCCTGTTAATTAATGAATACCGCTTTATGTTAAATTGTTTGTGTGAATGTATTATATGAGCTGCTGATACTGGGATGAGACTTGCCCATTTCTGTTTACTGTAGAACATATCAAGCCTACTTAAAACCGTAAGAAGTTGTAATGGTATAGCAAACACTGGATGGCTGGCGCAGAGATGGACTGAGGCTCACAGCACTGTGCAAATGCCATGCCGCTGTGCAAAATTACGATTAAAAGAGAATTAATCCCCCTGTAATTAGACGTAGTTAAGCACACTGTCAAGTCATTGCATGCACAACATACAATACTTTGATGTCTTTGTAAAAGTGTTTTGTAATACGATAGTGGTTTATCCCTCGGTATTGGTGTGGCGTCACTTTTGTACTTTGAATTAGCCTTCATGCTTCTCTCGGGGTAGGCTAAACTTTGGGCCATGCCGGTACCCCAAACACCTTCGCTGTGCTTAATATATATTCTACTTGAGTATTGTGTCTTCTTTCGTCTTCTGGGATTCTCGAAACGCTGCAATTTATGCCATGCTGTAGCTCCCCGAGTGTTTCCTTAGGTTGTAAGAGCTTACTGTGCTATGACAGCAGTTATTATTACAACCCGGGACCTCACCGAACAAAAAAAAGGCGTAAAATTGGGATAGAAATGTGTTGCTAACGTACATTAGGGCTCGGAACTACTGGCCTAACCAGCAGGCCAGGCTATCCTGGGAATTTACAGTAGCTAAGCGCCTAAATGGCCCCTTTGCCAAAACCGTGAGTACAATGAACAACCAAAATACTAAGATAAATCACTAGGGGTATGCTGCTACGTCCCTTACGACGAACGGAAATGCAGTCAGTGGGGAAGTAAGAGCTCGAATAATAAAATGTAGCGTCCCGGGACTCGCTGAAGACGAAAGAAGACAAAATACTCGGGCAAAATATGTATTCAGCGCAGAGAAGGTGTCTGGGCTATTGGCATGGCCCGAAAGGCCAGTCTATTCAGCGGGGTACAAGAGGGCTAATTCAAAGTACAAAGGTGGGGCCTCACCAACGCCGAGTGATAAACCACTATCGTATTACAAAAATGCAGAGCTAGGCAAAGCATCAAAGCGGTGCGCCATCAAGTGTATGCTCGTAGTTCTTCCATGCACTACTTTCTTCCGCTTTCTATTCGTCGAACCCTTTTCATTAGTGGACAAAATATGATCTTAAACCTGATTCAAACAAAATTCCTGTAGACTTATCAAAATGTTTGAATTAATTCAGCACGACGCATAAGCACTCATCTGCAAAACTTGTGTTGTCTTAAAGTTCCTTTCGAAGAGGAGGCGGGGATACGAATCAAGCCTCGTGGCAGTAGAGGCGACGTTCTGCAAGCCTCAGGGTGGTTACGTGTCCACACCCCCCTGAACTCTGCACTAGTTTTCCCAATTACTCCCCTTATAAATACGTCAAAATCAAACCAACTTGGGTGTTTTGAGAGTAGGAAGAACAGAGAAAAGGAGACCTACGAGCCTCGTTCTACACATTGTCTTCCGTAGCACCGACCTTGACTACTCGCCCTCCCCTGGCCTTCATTGCCTTAGAACGAAGAAACTGATTACATTGAAGCATATTTGTTGGCTAGCGTCAAGGGGGATAGACACACGTTTAAAGAGACCTGGGTAGTGAACTTTCCCCTGTTTTAAGATACGTTGGCCACCCCCCAGTTAACTGCAATACGATAGTGGTTCATCCCTCCGTATTAATGAGACGCCACTTTTGTACTTTGAATTAACCCTCATGTACCTCGCTGGATGGGCTGGCCTTTCGGGCCATGCCAATAGTCCAGACACATTCTCTAAGCTAGATATATATTCTGCTTGAGTATTTTGTCTTCTTTCGTCTTCAGGGAGTCTCGAGACGCTAAACAACAGCTTCCAGGCAACTGTCCGTTTCTTCTCGGAAATGCAGATTTAAACAGCATGCATATTACACTACCCCAACTTATAGTTAAGAACGCGCTTTTTAAAATGTGAAATTCTGTAAGAAAGTGTAATTTTGAAAAAGTGCATAGTTGGAAACAGATCGCCTTTGTACAGAAATACCACTTCAAGTATTTTGTAGCACCATAAAATTAATGAGGTAATCCACAATTTTTTTTCGTTTTTAAAGTCTTTATCCAAATTTAGATTTTATATATCTTTGTGTATCGGGAGTAATAGTGCACTCAAGGTGATTCGTCAATGTTTAATTGTGCAGTTCGTTATGCGGTGGTGTGTTACTCTGCCTTTTCTTTCACCGCTTTGTTGTAATTGATGAACTCAGCGTTTTTCCCTGCAAGGATATCCTTAAATAGGCGGAATAAAACTCAGTTTTCCCCGAGATCTTTTATTTTCTCATAGTTGCAACGTATGCTGGAGTTTTCGTAACGGTTTTTGAGTAATCTCGGGGTGTTCGTCGACCGACTGTTAGTTTCTCACGTCGCAACGCATACTTTCTCTAATTGCATTCGGGTTTCATCTGTTCGAATCCGAGTAGCTGTCTCCTCGACTTGATTTCATAAAGTCTAGTGCGCTTAAGGAATCGATGTTTTTCAGATGTTACTTCATTTCTTAAGGATTTACTGGAAACATTACTTGCATGTAATAAAGCGCCTCCGTTCATTAAGTTTGCTACTACTCGTCAGTATTTGGACTGCATATTTCCAGCAGATAGTACATCTTCCTGTGTGCTGATATCGCTGCTTCGGCCCCATAAATTAGTTGATTTGTGGTGATGTTAAAATACAGACATTGAATAAATTTTTTGGAGAATTAAGGTCGGATTTTAGTGCAGCCTGCTTTGTACTTGTTCTTAAAAATTCCGTGGTCAGCGTTAGGCGTCGTAGTTCACAAATTGAAGATTGCTGTGCTGCTGCTAGTTTTAAATCAGACATTTCAACCTGTTAAATTATTAAAACCAACCATTCGCTTTACCCGCGTCTCAAGCAGCATTGTTTTCTACGCTTCTCGGACAATTCCGATTTTTATCTTTCTAGAGGATACTCCGATAGACTTCAAGCAATGCTAAAAATGAATCCATCGGAATCACGTAAGCCACTTTAACCAAGCTTTTTAATCAGGTTTCCTTTCTTACTAGCTTTGGCATTGGCTAGGTCATTACCTCTAATTTTCCACTAGTTGTTAAGGAGGTTGATTTTTGAAATAATTTTTTTTGGTAATTATTATTTATTTATTCTCTCGGAGATTAGCAGCCATCCAGTTCCAACAAGTTGTGGGACAATCTAGGTAATTACTTTTAACCAATTTCTCACCACTCGGCCGTCAGCTCCTCCTTCCACGTCCTCTTCGTCAGTCGACTTTGATACAGAGACAGGACTGCCGCATGCACCTCCTACGCCCCCATGTCGCACTCGACCAGCACTCGATTCTCCTGAGGGCATATCTTTCGAGACAGCATCACTGGAACGCCTCTCCCTCGATCACGCTCCGCCTTCCGAGTCTGAGGTCGAGTCAGAAACGGAAATATCTCACTCTTTTGCCGACGGTGAAGTCGTCACCACCGCCTGTGAGGGCTGTCGGCGGTTGAAGGAGAGGTTACAGAGCCTCCAGATGGAACACACGGCGAGTTGCCAGTATCTTTGTTATTAGTGATGTCAGGTCGTATGAAGGATACCATCGTCTTTGCGAACGCTGTGGGAATGGGTATTGATGGTAGTGGGAATTCAAGAGCCAGCGGTCGAACACTGATCATGTTAATACGAAAGGGGAAATTAAAGCCCTCGGAAATGGACGCCCGTTTATAATCAGTGCCTATTTGTTATCTTGAGAATTCACTGTAAAAGTAGATTACCTTTATGTGGGCACGAAAGGAAAGATCCTAGATTAAAGGTAAAGTCATGGACTTCTACTCTATCACATTGCTTATGCCAGTCGTTTTGGTTAAGAAACGAGTGTTGATAGTGTGGGTCTTATTCAGAAAAGTCAAGAAGTTGATATCGACTGTTTTATGTTGAATCCATTGTTTGTGGCTATATGTCAACTGCTGGGGTTGGGTGTGGCAACCAAATCATTAAAGTCCTTTTTGGATTTGCTGAATGTGTAATCGTCAATGTCGAGGAGGTTCAAGAGCCTGTAGGCAGAAGACACAGTGAGTTACGACCATTCGCTCTGTTGCATCGTGTCTATCGAAGGTGGCAGGCTGTGAGAAAAAGAAAGTCAAATATGCGAAATCAGCTACCAGCCAGTTGTGGGAGCCGATTCTAACGAGATGGAATCTGGTTTGTCACATTGCTTCCATTATCGGTGCCCATTTGTTCACTTTTGAGGGATGTAAGTGCCTTTTGGAGTCGTGAAAATTAGGGGTCCAAGAGCTTCCAGAGCAACGTACATCGTGGATAGCAGGTATCCATATCGCACCATTTTATCTGGAGTGATTCTAGACCGTGCAAAGATTTACTCTTGGATTTTTTATCTTAATAAAGGAGCAGGTGGTAATGATGGAAATGTAAGATATCTAGCCTGCCACTGCGTACCTATCAACGATGTTATTTTATGGGATAAGATGTTAAAATCTTGGAAATTCCTTTGAAATTAGCTGCGAAAGTTGGCGACAATTGTAATGTAGGGGAAGTCCATGAGTCGGACAATGAGTATCCGTTTAACCGTGCTATGTCTTCCAACGGAGTTAATTTCTTCAATTTTTAGTGTTGCGGGAGCCGTTTTCTGAGCAAGACGATAGGCCTCTCGGACTAGCCGTAAAGTTAGTTGATTGTGTTGACTAACCAGGGTAGGTTTAAGAGCCTCTAGATATGGTGCTGTAAATCTCGAGTTAATTGTGCCTCACCGATCTGCTAGTCATCCCAAACTGGGAGAATTGAGGCTTAAACCTTTGAAATTCCTTCCTGTGTAAGCAGGTAATAGCGTAGGGCAAGAGGACCGACATAACAAGTGAAGCACACAGTGAGTTACATTTGTCTACCAGTCGGGTCAGTGGGAAGGGGAACTAAATCTTTGAAGCCTCTTTTGTGCTTTCCACGTGAACGGCTGATTAATAGGCGGAGAGATATCCAGGATGCGTTCTTCTGTTAAGTAAATTTGTCAACTTTTGGGAATAGATAAGCCATGGTGTGTGCCGGAGTGATGTTGGCAACATTTAGATCAAACGTGTAGCTCGAGTTTATAAGAATCATTGTGAGTCACTGAGCGACCGAAATAAATGGCACAATTCTTGGTGTTTCCCCTTTTGTTGACGTATTATTTTAAAATCTCCGTTTTCACTTGGTCCGACACCACGTGGCATCTCTGTTTGCCCCTGACTGAAGTCGATCTTTTTCATGTAATGATTTCCTTGACGTTAAAATCGACAATTGTCCCAAGAAACCCATATTTTTTAGGTAAAACAGACACGTTTCTAAGTGAATTCACTACTTTCCCCAAAACATTCAAATGTCACCTTTTATTAAAATCGTGATTACGTAATTCAACGACTGAGTCTTGCTGGCATGTGTTTCCCGTGGCTCTACCGACCCGAGTTCCATAAGGAGCTGTTACTATGATTTTGTTAGATGTTTTTCATAATTACCAATTCTCCCAGTCAAAGATTTCGCGTAGTTGAACGATAGGGATAAAAAAATTGGAATGATTTTAATTATGCACCCAGTGCTATTTCCTTTTCTTTAGTCTTCTAAATCAAGTGAAAGAGCAATGCTTATTTTATCATTTCCCATCGCATGTGGTCTCCCAAAATGGACTTCAAGTAGCACTTGGAGGTTTGATGTGGCAGATCTAGCAGGAGTGTCTAAATTAGGAGGTTAACTAAATCAAATCCCATGTTCTTTTTCTTCATCCAGTCGGTGAGCAACCGGTTGAGCGCGACGGTGGCGGACCTGCATACGGTTAAGAAGGCGATGGAGGAGACAGAGACCCGGGCTAACGCTGAGAAGGCCCTCTTCGAGGAGCACACAGCCTCCTTTGAGCAGCGAATTAGCCAGTTGAGTCAGCGACTGGACGGTCTGCTCAAACAGTATCAGGTTGGTGAAAGTCTCCTCCCATTGCCTTTTCCGTTGTTAGCACATCGAGTGTCGCCACTGGCATTGTGGCAGTATCTCTGATCCCTGGGACCTCATCCTGCTGGCTTAGAGGACAGAAGAAAACATTCCCCCAAAAAAAACAAAATTGCTAAACTGTCATGCGTATCCCTCTAGTTCTCTCTGCTTTTCGTCTTGAGATGTTAGGACTTTCTCTTAAAAGAAAATTCGCCGCGATAGATTTAATATTGTCTCACAATTCTTAGTGTCTTTGTCATCTGTTCCGTTGTGTAACCCCATATCACGCCGATTCTCCCCATCGAAATTTTCACAGTCGATGCTGTCTTAAGGATGGAAGCCTTCTGATAAAACAATGTCTTTCAACTTGCGACTGTATGACCATCTCCACTTCAAAGTTTGATCTTATCATATTCTCTGTAAAACTGCTATCTTTTTCACCTGGTGAACTGGTGGCACATGAATAGCTTCTCTGCCCTTTTCAAAGTTGGTTGGATCCGATACGCAACCCAACGTTTTGTTGATGCAGCCCACAGAAGAAAGCCTCTGATTCAGCTAAGAATGCTCTCCAACAAGTTTTATGTTGTCACTCCATGTGTGTAGCATTGTAATTTGTTTCAACAAGTAAATTGGTGCCGCTTCCGGTAGCATCGGCAGTGGTTCATTCAATACCTGTTTAGAAAGCGGCAGGAAATCCTAAAATCCGCTAATCCATTGGTAGGTAGTGTTAGTATACTGCCATCTTCTCTTACCTCCAGCTTCTAGGTTAATCATTGGCTGTTCTTCTTAAGCGCCATCAAATTTCTTCGTGTGTTAGGCATGCAAACCTTGTTCTCTGGTTTGTCGCATTATACCTTTTATCGCATCAATCAAGTCCTCACCTGAATGCTTAAGCTGTTTTGAATGGCAAAAGTGCGGCTAGTAAAAGCGCAGTATATTGACATGGTTGTCTGAGAAGCTGTATTCTGACCTGTGTTTCAAACTAGGGGCAGCTTCTTAAAAGATTTTATTTATTGAATAGTAATGCATTCCTTCTCCAGCGCGTCACAAGTTTGCAACGAATCACGCAGTAGAAGGATGAGTTGTGGCAGTGTCTCCTCCCCTACTTGCCAGCCTATGTAAACTGCTGTTTTAGTAAGTATGGTGTGGGGCATGAGGTCTGAGGTGTTACGGCGCCTCAGTATGTAAGGCGGTAGGGAAGCTTGAATCGCCTCCACTAGGTTAATTCATCTGGCGTTTTATTAAATGAGGGTCAGAAAGGGGAGGAAGGGAGTCGGGAGCTCAATGAGGAGTACCACATCGATGGACTTCTGCATATGTCCCTATGGCTTCTACTACATAGATGTACACAATCTCATGGGCTTTGCCAACTCCCCCAAGCTCCAATAGGTTATTACCACGAGTCATTCCGTAAACCGCTCAAAATTCCTGGTGTCCCGATACACCCACCTCAAATTGTCCGTTTTTATGTAGTTGCTATTTGAGTGTCTGCTATGGCGACAAAATTTTGTCCTTACTTCTGTTAAAACAGTTTGAACTGTTTAATTAGTTGTGATATCACACGCTTGCACTGACATTACAGTAGTTGGATCTGATAGAACAGACCATCTATTTCCTCATAGTCGCTTGGTCACTCGATTCGCGAAGTGTGAGATTCGTTTCTTACTAATTCAGTGTAGAATCAGGTGAGTGGGAAGTGTTGCTTAACGACTTTGGCTCATCGTTGACTTTCAAGCTATATTCACCGGCATTGAAATAGTTGACCCCAGCATGCTCATTCTAGAAGCAGGTTTCGTTTTCTCTCACACAGAGCACCATTTAACTGTCATTCTCCCCAACCAGTAGGTGTGATGAACTGGTTGCCGGTAGGGTCGTGAGTGGCTCGTTTTCAATGCATGCCTCTGATGTGGCTCTGAGGGCAGCACATACCCACCCGCAAATGCACTCGAGATTCATGTGGTTTTTTCCTAGTGTTTACCCATTTATATGTTCTCGCCCTTCAGTCAGATAGATATTTTGTCAATCCTTCGCTCCTCCCTTTCCATAAGTTTGATTACCTTCCAGATGGAGTTTCATTCGATAGTTTTGTCAGACATCGAACTTTTTTTCCGGTGAATTGGTGGAGCTTTTCCAGGTTTTGTGTATTTGTTGAAAGTGGTTTTATTTACACAGAGAACTATTAACTGATTTCAGGGGAATGTTATGGTGATTACTGAGGCCGTTTCAGGCAGGAAATGTGTTGATAGGAATACCTTATCGGCCCCTTTTGACCCCGGTTCACTGGTTCTCTGTTGAAGCACCTCCGTAGGCCATCCCTAAGGCAGGCTTCCAAATTTTCCAAAAACAGCATTGGATTTTATAATTGCCTTCACTTTTCTTTGGTGAAGGTGTGCAAATCAAAGCTTCGCTGTGTGTGCATCTATGCGTACGTGGGCACTCCGGAGCAAATGACCTTTGAGACGCCATCAAAACGTCTGCAAAGGGTTTTTTAAAGGTGTTCAAGATGTAACCTTGGGGAATAAGTTTAAAGTATCCAGTTCGTTTAGTGCCTTCCACTATCTTTAGGTTACGATTTTTAGCGCTCTTTTGCATCCTGAGTTGCTCTTTAGCTCTCTACTTTTGTGTGGTCTTTTAAAACTGACCGCAATGTTACCGAGAACCGAAATATTTTTAGCGCAGGAATAGTCTGCTTTTTCGATTGACCAACTTTCTCAAGTTCAGACCCGTAATTCTTAACGATATTTCCGTTTTGACGCTGCCTTGTTTCTTGTGCCATCCGAAATCCCCTTGATGACGTTACAAACCTTGCTGGCATCAGACTTGGCGATCTGGCCTCTGAATTCACCTAGGTCACAAATTGGATTCGATGTTTTTTATGCCCTTTGTAAAAATGTATTGGGCGGGTGATTCAGGAGTCAAAAATGCTCACTCTCGATGTAGATGCAGACACGGCGGCACATTATTTTTAATTTTGGTCCCATCTTGACTTGAATTTTCAAAGCGAATGTCTCTGTTGGCTTTCAGACGCCAATTCTTAAGTGCCTCCTCCCACCCTGACGGACGAAAGCGGAGTCAGCTGTAGCATGTAAAATCGCAGCGTACTTTTAAACGACTCATTTCGTCGGAGTTAAACGTTAAAACGACCTTAAAAGTGCCTGCTCCAACCGGCATCCCAACTAACATTGTCCAACGTTACAGCTGCACAAAACGACTATCTAGCAAAGCCACTTAGACGAAGTTTGGAATGAGGGAGCTTGCGAGTAAGCAACAATTCCGAACCTCAGGCGTTCGTACGAGGATCGCTACTGAAATTATAGGCAGGAGGTGGTCCTGAAAGCTCTCTTTTTCGTCAAAACGCGCACAAACCGGCCAACCCACCCTTCGGTTATCATTTGACTACTTTTGCCAAGTCTTTCGCCATGAATTGGGGTGGTTAAACTGGGCATACTATTCAATGGTCAAAACTTCCGCTTCCAGAATCTCTCTTTTTATAATGACACTAACGTTTGCAATACCTAACTGACCTATTTAACTGCTGTTTGAACCTAAGAAATGTTATTATCGCTAAACCAAGAAAACTGCATTTATTTGGCTACTCCAAACTTTCCTAGTCTTTTTAAAGCAAAATTTGTCGCAACCATTTGTCATTAAGTGATGTGGAACACACGTCACGTACTTATGATACTGGCGGCGAACATGCTAACACAATAACTCCGGTTAGAGGTCCTCACGTTTTCTCTTTTCAAAACATCCATTGCTGAATGAATTGGCCCACCTATTTCGCTCGAGCAACGAGTTCGCCTTGTGGCAAGGTTTGGTTTTCTCACCAGTGTAATTGCCTCCGTGCATTTGCATACCTCCAAATTGCTGTTTTAATTCCTGTGCTGAGCAGGAAGTTTTCTCGGTGAGTGTTAGTTGATAACTTGTTTGGAAAAGTGGAGCCCCTTATTCAGAGCCTGTCAGAACTCTGTTACCGATTTAGCGGCCAACTCTCCAAGGAAGTTATAAAACATTCAAGTGTGCAAGTGAAAAGGATCATCCCACGGGCCTGGTGGTCAAATAGCAAGGAGCTGGGGAGGGCAAAATCGTTGAATATACGCTTAAAACCGAGACATCCCTCTGTTGCTGTTGTCGTATTGCCATATAAGTGCCGCCGATCCATCGGCAGAGTCCCTTGGAAAAATATTTTTTAACCTTGTGCTCACTCAGGGCGTTTGACAGGGCACAAATAACCTTGAAAGGAAGTTTTGCTGGTAGTTGAGGGTGCATCGACTTGGGAGACAGAAAATTTCGTTTCACTCCTCCCCGTGATGGTAATGTGGTTCTGTGCGAATCCAGGAGTACCGTCGGTCAACAGAGTCGGAGTTTTCGCGCCTGGAACAGGAGCGGGCGAGCGCTCAGATGGAACTTTCGGAGGTAGAGGAGCACTACCGCACCCTGCTGAGGAAGAGGCATGATGCCGCGGCTGAGATGGCTGCGCCTATCGATCTGCCCTCGGCGAAGGAGGATTTGGAACTCTACGCTCTGCAGATGCGTGAAGAGTTGCTCTCCACTAGGTGAGTCAGGTTTTGGTCTGCTCTGATGTACTGATGGTGTATTCATCCTAGGTTCGTCAACCCATCTCGCCTCCATTCATCTTTTTAGGATCCATTTACCCCTCTATTCGTGACTTACCAATCCTCCATCTTCCTGCTCAACTCCAATTCCCTTTCCTTCTTGTACCTCTATCGTCCATTCGCTTGCCTTACCCTCCACCTATTCATCGAATTATGCAGTGACTTTTGCTCAAACAACCCCGATTTGTCGTGTGTTTTAGCGTGGCCTGCGAGCACCTGCGCAATCGTCTAGACACGGAGACAGCTACCAATCGGGAACGTTTGAACGAGGAACGATGGAAGCGCATCCAAGTGGAGGAACTGCTGCGCTCACGTATGCGAGACGCCAATGAACATATCGCTGGGTTGACACGTAATTTCGAGGCCTCCAAGCAGACCGCTGAAAAGGCAACGGAACGCGCCTCTGCCGAGGTCAAACGACTACAGGTGCGCTCTTCCGGTGCTACCTACCTACTGACCCAGTTTCAGTAGTAAAGTTTTGCCCCCCCCCTTTT